CTGGGAGGGAGGCTGTTGCAGGTGGAGCAGTGGGCGTGCAGGGAGCAGAGGTGCGGAGAGGCCCCCCACCGGGCAGGGCGTGCAGAAGCCCCCCGCCCCGCGTCAGCAGGAGCCAGCAGTGGGACTGCATTCAACTCCCACTCCCCTGGCTGGCTGCTCAGCCTTGGAAAAGCACCCTCCCGCGCAGAGCCTGGCTTGCTGGTCAGCAGCACCCCCGTTTACAGGGTGGCCAGGAGGGGGGCCTGGGCCCTTCCTCTCTGTCCCCCGCCCCCGGCAGTGGCCCCACACCCAGCAGGAGGAGGCCGTGACCCTGGGAGTTTCCAGCTCCCATAGTGGAGGTCAGACTTGGATTCCCGCTGCCCTTTCCGGCCCCGGGGGAAGCAGCCCGCGCTCTGTCCCCGGGCATCTGTGCAGGGCGGGGTTTTCAGCCCAACATTTGCAGGAAACCGCCCGCTTCCAGCAGGAACCCCAGGTGCGGCCAGGGAGCGCGGCCACATCTGGACGTGTGAAATGAGAGGGCAGAACGGCAGAGGCCGGCAGAGTTTTCCTGCAGAGCGAGGCCGAGTGGGGGGCGAGGCCCCTGGAACCCCAGCAGGGGCCAGCTCCAACATCGGCTTCCCTGATGAGCAGCGCTGGGTGGAGGGAGCGCCCCTGGAGAAGCTCCTCCCCTGCCCCTCCCAGGCCTGTGGCCTTGCCCAGACAGCCTCACCCAATCTGCACCACCCTCCTGTGCCGGCCTGGCTCAGCCCTCTGCACCTCCCCCGAGCCCTGGTGCTCCAGGGCACCTGGAGATTCTCGCACGACCCCCGCTGTGCCATCAGCTGGGCCTCATCGCTCTTCACCAAACCCATGGCGGGTGGGGTCTCACTCCCACGTCGTGGATGCTTTTTTATTTTATTTTTTGAAAGGCAGAGCGGCAGCGAAGTCTCCCACCTGCTGGTTCACTCCCCAGATGCCCACAACAAGCCGGGCTGGGCCAGGCAGAAGCCAGGAGCCAGGAGCCATCCGGGTCTCCCACCTGGGCGGAGGGGCCCAAGTGCTTGAACCTTCGCCTGCTGTCTCACAGGGTGCACGTTCGCAGGAAGCTGGATCAGAAGCAGAGCAGGCAGTAGAACCAGGCGCCATGCTAAGGGATACAGGGGCCCTGCACAGGGTACCCCTCACTCCCCCCCCCCACCTGAAGGCTGGGGAGACAAGGCTGGGACAAACACCAAGGCGAGACGTCTGCTGCTCCCAGGACACCTGCTGCTTCCCAAGGGAGGCGGAAGTGGGGGGAAGAGAGGGGGCTGGGGGGAGGGGGAGAGGACCAAACCCGACCCACAGTTGGGAGGTCCTCCCTGCACTGTCTCCGGGCAGGAAGAGCCAGTGTGTGTTACCATGCAGGCTCCCCGGCCCGGGGCCTCCATAGTTCACTCAGGGCAGGGCCCGCACACACACCCCCGCGGCCGCAGGAGACAAAGGCTGTGTCCCGCGGAACGAAGCACGGACTGGCCCCGGGGGAGGCTAATTGCTTCCTTAATTGGTGAGCTGGCCTTGGGGAGCCTTGCCCAGAAAGTCCCAGGTGTGTCTACCAGGGAGGGGGACTGGCTGGCCCGGCAGCCGACGCCGGCTCTGACGCGGACTCCCGGGCCGCTCCCACCGTCTGCGTAGCGCATTTGGAGCCGGCCTGCGCCTGGCGTTCCGCGCTGCACCCCGCTTCGGCCCTGCGCGCCCCGCCCTGACCTCGCCGGGAGCCCCGGAGCGGCGAGAGGGGAACGCAGAAGCAAGGGGGAGTTCCCAGACCTGCCGCCAGGTGGCGCCGTCGCCAAGGGACAAGCCGGGCCGTCTGGCGTGGCCCGGCCGGGCTGGGGGCGGCACCGAGGGCGGGACTTGGGGGCTTCGGCTCCGGCCCTGGAAGCCCCCAGCGATCGGCCGCCGCGGCGAGCCTGGCTCTCCCCGCCGCGGACTGGCTGGGCGCGCGGCGGACGAGGGGGGAGCGCTGGCGACGGCGCTGCCTTTGTTTTTCCCCGGTTCTTCCCGGTGGTCTTCAGCGTGGCGGCGCTGGGCGGGGGCCGGAGCGGGCCCGGAGGTCTGGCCCGACTGTGCGGGGAGGACCCCGGACTCTGCTCCTCTCTCTGCCCTGTTTCTGTCCATCATCGAGGCTGCAGTTCCAGCCAAGAGCAGGGGGAGCGCCGCGGTCTGGTCCGTGTCCTGCGGCTCCCGGCGGCGGCTGCGGGCTGGACCTCGCTCTGCCGGGCTGCGCGCCGGGCGGAGCCGCACCTGCCACGCGGCGTGGGCACAGAGCCCGCCTGGAACAGGCAGCCCGCACCACAGGCGGCTGGGCCCAGAAGGATCCGACAGCGGCGAGCGGGCCGGCGGCCTCCAGGTGGGCTTGCCTGCCTCCAATGACGGGGAGCTCACCCCGAGTCTCCCACGGCTCCCAGGGTGGCGGCGCCACCCAACTGCAGGGCCCACGAGGAGCCAGAGGGGCCCCAGTTGCAAACCGGGGTGCTCCTAGGAGAGAAGGGAGGCTGCCGGCTGGGAATAAAACAGGGGTGGACCCCTGGGACCCCAGGCAGTGGGCAGTGGAACCCCCAGCACCTGAGGAATGGAAGCCCCCCCCCCCGACCCCCGTGTCAGCCTCCAGGCCAGCGCACAGTGACTGGGGGTGGGGTGGGGTGGGGGTGGAGGTGGAGGGAGTGGGGGTGGGGTGGAGGGGTCTCGCCCCAGGGCCCCTCAGCTTCCGGAGCCTGGCCCAGAGCAGCAGCCTGGACAGGAGCCAGAGAGCCCAGGCCAGGCTGCGGCCCCTCTACTACCCTCCCCTGAGCATTTGAAAGCCTGCCTGGGTGGATCTGTTCCGTGCCCCCACTGCCGGGCACACAGCAGGGACTTCCTAAGCGTCTGTGGAACTAAACTGAAAACAGGAGCCGGCAACCGTGCTCCCATTTGGAACGTTTTAGCCTCATGTAAGGGAGGTCCCTGGGGGCATCACTTTCCCACCCAACTTCCTCCTCCTCCAGGAAGCCCTCCGGGGCACCCCCTCCTCCCTCCACCTCCAGGGACTCACTTCTTCCCCTGTGTCCCCGTGTGTGCGGTGCACTCTCTGTCACGGAGGTGGGTGGGAGCGGTGGTTACCCGTGCCTCAGTTTCCCCAGCTGTAGGACGGAAGCGGTCAGAGCACCTGCCTCCTTGGATTGCAGGGAACCTGAAAGCGGCTGGAGCGGCCACCAGGTCTGCTGGGGTTGCTGCTCTCCCACAGCACATGGAGGCCCCCACTGCCCTCAGCAATGGACAGGTGGGGCGGTGGCTGGGGGCAGTGTCCCTGGGGACCTCGTCTGCAAGCTCAGCCGCCCAGGCCCGGCCCCAGAGGAGCCCACGAGCCTTCCTCCGTTCCTCCGCTCCTCCTCAGCCTTCCACGGTCTTTGATCTGCAGCTCCTGCTGAGGGCAGCTCCTGCCGAGGACTTAGGGCCGGCAGCTTCCCCACTTGGCAGCTACTTGGCAAGGAAAGCCACGACGACTCGGCCTGCTGGGCTCCTGCCCTGAGGCTGTGGCGCCCTCACCCTCTTCTCTTCTGGCTCGGGAGGGGCCACCCCGGCTCAGCGCCCACCTCCCCGCCAGCCATGAGAGGCCTCCGGGCACCAGGGGCAGAGTCGCACGGGAAGCCCCCGGCGGGCAGGTGACAGCAGGCGGCGCAGGTGTGGGAGGAGCGGGCAGGCCTGCCTCACAGTCCCAAGTCCCGCGGAGACGCTCCCGAGCGCAGAGGCGTCAAGATGCCGTCTACCATGGGGCCCTGAGGTGCTTAGACAACCTGCTCCCCCCAGGAGCCGGGAACAGCGGGAGGCAGATGATCAGCGTCTCGCTGTGACATGTGCGATCATGTATCACCGTGATGGATCAACAGTCAATGGCACCGGGTGCCGCCCGCCCCCCGCGCCGGCACGTGGTGTGCACATTCGTCTTCCTTGTCTGGTGGGTGGCCGGCTCCGCCCACCACCCTCCTCACTCGCCTGCTGGCTTTCCATGTCCGCGTGCAAAGGTCCCTGGGGGCTGCAGCTGAGGGACGGCTCCGGCAGCCCCCGGCCGGGGGCGTGGGCCCTGGCACTGTGGACGTGCCCAGCTCCGGGCAAGCTGCTCCGCCTCTTGTGGCTGGAGGCTTCTGCCCCGGGACAGCGGTGTTCGTCTCCTGGCCTGCCGGGCACCACGGCGCCTTGGTCCGGCCCCTGCCCCATCCAGCCCCGTGCTGGGCTCCAGGATGTCCAGGGTGCTGAGGGTGCGGAGGGTGCTTGCACGGGGCGGGGGGGCGTCCCAGTCTGCTGCGGAGAAGGGGCCCAGCGCAGCCACTTCTGTCCCTGTGACAGAGCGAGGACTGCGGCCAGCTGCGGCGAGGAGCCAGATGGGGAAGCCGCTCCTCGTGGTGGGGGTCGAGGAGCCACCCGGAGGAGGTGTCCCCTGGGTGTCTCGGGGGGCCCATGGTGGCCCTCGCTGGGCAAGCGCGGGCAGCCCCGGCAGCATTCGGCTCTTGCCAGGGCTGGGGTGGGTGCCTTCCTCCCTTCTCCCTCCCAGCCTGCCCCCTCCTCCGCCGCCCCTGCCCCTTCCCCATTCTCCCAACCACTTCCGCCCCATCAGAAGGCCTGCTTCTGCCGATCCCTCGAGCAGTTTCCAGAACTGGGGGGGGGGGGGTAGTCTGGCTGAGCGTGGTCGTGGCCACTGCTAAGGGTTTCAGGACCGAGGTGCTGACCCGAGCCCTCGTCTACTCAGGAAGCCCTGAGCCCTGTGCCCCCTACTATCTCCTGGGCAGGCCCTGGTGGGAGAGGATCGAGGAGGGCAAAGCCCTCTGGGGCTTGAGTTGGGCAGCCTGGTTCTGTCGCTGGCTGCTGTCCCGCTGCATGGCCCCTGGAATAAGCGCTGACCCCCTGCTTGGGCGGAGCTAGGGGTTCTGGGGAGGAGGCGGCCAGTGCGGCCTGGAGGAAGCAGAGGCCAGTAGGGAGGGGCCTCTTGGGGACCCAAAGGGGAACTACAGCTGCCAGCCCGGCTCTTCCCTCCCGGGATCTCAAGAGGAAGGAGGGACAGACGCCGCGCAGCCCCCGATGGAGAGCTGGTCCCCGCGCCTCGTGGCCACAGCGCTCCTGGCATTGCTGCCGTGGACCCCACAGCGGGCAGGTAAGCACGCCTCCTCGACCAGGTGAGGTGTGGCTGGTGCCTCCCTCGCCAAGGGGGCTTCCGGAGGGTGGGGCAGCCCCCACCCCTTGCTGCTGGGCTAGTGATTCCCCCTGCATACCCCCCCCCCCGCCCTTCAACAAGGAGGTGGGGCCGGGGTAGGGTAGGTAGCCCACTGCCCAAGGCATCTCACGATGGTGCTGAGGTCTGGAGCTGTGGCAGGTGGCAGAACCACCCTTGGTGTCATCCACGCCTTGGCCAGGGAGAGAAGGGGAGGCCAGTGGGACCAAGGTGGAGCCCTTGGGCACAAATCCTGTCCCTGGTAACAGAAGGGGTCCCGCCTCCCACTTCCTGAAACAGCCATAGGCCAAGTGTCTTAAGGGGGCAGGGAGCCCCAGTTTTCCTGGAAACACAGGGGGCCTGGATTTTCCAGGTGGGGAGCTAGGTGGGCTTGGGCAAGTTCATCCGGGCCAGCAGATCCCCCAGGCGAGCCCCGCCCCCACCTCACCCCCTTCCTGAGTAAACGCTGCCAGATTGGCCTGGCACCAGCTGGCCCTCTTGCTGACCAGCCCGCTTTGGGGTTTAGACTTCTTGATTCACTTGGGCTTCCTTTTTAAATTTTATTCATTTGTTTGAAAGACAGTGTCAGAGAGGTTGAGAGAGACAGAGAGAGAGAGATCTTCTATCTGCTGGTTCACTCCCCAGAGGGCTGGGCTGGGCCAAAGCCGTGGGCCAGGAGCTCCATCTGGGTCTCCCATGTGGGTGTCAGGGGTCCAGGCACTTGGGCCACCTTCCGCTGCTTCCGCAGAATCCTCAGCAGGGAGCTGGATGGGAAGTGGAGCAGCCCGGACTCAGTGTGGGACGCTGGCTCACCCTGCCATGCCAGGGTGCTGGCCCCTCACTGTGGCTTTCCTTGGTAAACAGCAGTTACCCCGGGGCTCATGAATTCGCTGTGTGAAGCCCTTGCCTGGGCACCTTCTGTCCGCCCCCCTAGCACCTCGCAGGGCACCTGCTGCTGTCCACCAGCTGCACTTTAAGGACAGGCAGAGGAGACCTAGAGGATAAGCAGGGGCCAGGCTCAGACCTGGGTCAGCCTCAGCATGGCTGGGCCAGTGGGTTCTGGGGCTCCTGTTTGCCAACCAAAAATTGTACCCCGGGGTGGGGCAAGAGCTGGACACCCCCTACACTGCACACTGCAAGCAGTGGCCACAGCACCCAAGTGCCGCTGGGGGTGACCGTGAGTCTGACCTCATACTTGGTCACTTTAACGGAATCTTCCCGACTTCTCATCTCTGTCCGTGTGGTCCCGCCTCCCCAAGGACTGCAGGCCGCCTCCCAGGGCGGAGAGGCCCTGCCCTCTGCGGGGAAGCTCTTTTGTAACAGGCTCACTGCAAACAAAACCAGATTTCTGCGGTGTCGCAACAATGTTGTACAAAAGAGAAACTTTCTGCTCTTTCACAAGCAGGCAAAGCACTCTGATGCTCCCCGGCCCACCACACACACGCACACACGCACACACACACACACACACGCACGCACACACACACACGCACGCACACACACGCACACGCACGCCCCTCCCCCCATCTCTATCTAGCCTGCAGGGTTTCTCCTGCCTCTCTGGCCTCTGAACCCCCTCCCCTCCCCAGCCTGGCCCATCCAGCCGCCTGCTGCCAGCTCAGACCCGCAGCTCCCACCCCGCTGCGGCCCCGCTGAGGTCCAGGCTCACTGAGTCCTGAGCGCAGTCATCAGCCTGAGTTCTGCCTCGGTTGCCTCACCTGTTAAATGGGCATGATGATCACGTCCAGCCTGCCTGTAGGGACTGCGTGCTACTCGGCACCTGTCAGCCTGGCGGGGCCGACCGAAACTCCAGACTCCACCATCCAGTGGCCCCAGCGGACCCCCATCCAGTGGCCCCAGTCCCCCTGGGGCAGCATCTTGGGCCGTCTCCTGCTCCCTTTTCCCTCCTTGGTTGTGAGCCGGGACTCAGGCCTGCCCTCCTCTGGCCCCGAGCCCTCTGCAAACTTGGCTTTTCTCGAAGACTCCAGGGCAGCTGGCAGCCTCAGCAGCGGCTACTCCCTCGGTGAAGGGGGGCTCTCAGGTAGCCGCTGCGCACCTGCTCTCACACTGCCTGTACCTGGCCTCGGACGCCGGCGAGGCCTGAGTCCAAGCCTGCTTTCCTCTCTTGGCTGCTGTGTGACCTCAGGAGATTTCCTTAACCTCTCTGATACTCAGTGTCCTCAATAAACATCCCTTCCTTGCCTCTTCTTGCCTGTCCAGAACTCTGGGCCATGTCCGGCCACCTGCTGGTCAGGAGGGAGAGGGGTTAGGGGCGTGGGTACAGGCACAGCACTGATGCAGGCTGGGAGGCAGAGTGCTGAGAGCTCTGAGATGTGCCAGGACGGGGTGGGATGCGGCCGTGCCAGCCGGGTACAAACGCCTGTCAGGTGGGTTCAGGTGCCATCGTAATAGGTCTGCTCGTCACTGCCTTCTTCTGTCTCATTGTGAAATCAAGTTCATATACAGAAAAGGACAGCGCTGTTCTTCCAGCCAATGTCCCGTGCAACCACCGCTCAGGTCAAGAAAGAATGTTCCAGAGTCCCAGAGCGGAGCCCCTGGGCCTCCTCCCCACCCAAGACGCCCCTCCCTCCCCGCCGAGGTTCCGCCCCTCCTGACTTCTGGAGTCATCACTTCCTGGTGTGTCTTTTTAAAAATTTTTAAAACTTTATTTATTTATTTGAGAGGTAGAATTACAGACGGAGAGAGGGAGAGGCAGAAAGGTCTTGCACCTGCTGATTCACTCCCCCAGTGGCCGCAACAGCCGGAGCTGGGCTGATCCGAAGCCAGGAGTCAGGAGCTTCCTCTGGGTCCCCTACGAGGGTGCAGGGGCCAAGCACTTGGGCCGTCTTCTGCTGCTTTCTGTGGCAGCATCGTCAGGGGCTGAATCAGAGGAGCAGCCAGGACTTGAGCCGGTGCCCACAGGGGATGCTGGCACAAGGCAGAGGCTTGGCCCACTAGGCCACAGCACCAGCCCCTTCCTGGCGTTTCTTATACTCTTCCATTCACCGTGCATGGCCGAGCCATCTGGATGCCCCTGCCCGTGCCTGGCCTTTGTGGTTCTCTGGCCATGCCATCCACTCTGCGTGGGTTTTGCGAAGTCTGCCCGGCTGCTGGTGTGGCCCAAGGTTGGTTGTTTCCCTGCTAAGTCCAGTCCCCTGCCTCTTTCTGTATGGCCTGTGGATTATGAATGGTTGTGTATTTTTTAATGACTGAAAACATTGAAGAAGACTATCCCATGATGTGAAAATTATACAGAATTAATACCTGTGTCTGTAAATGTGGTTCTAGGGAAACATGGCCCTGTTTTGTGTTTGCTCATTGTCCGCATTGCTTCTGCACATGGTGCTGCAGTTGGGTCGTTGCGGGAGAGTCTGACACAGCCGTCCCCGGGCCCTTTTTAAGTATATTTGTATTTTTATTATTTAAAACATGTTATTGGTTATTTTCATTTATTGAAAAGGAAGAGCAACTCGTAGAGGGAGGGGGAATTCTTGTATGCAGGGCTCACTTCCCAGATGCCTGGGACAGCTGCAGCTGGGCCGGCCTGAGGCCAGGAGCTCACACTTTGACCCAGCTCTCCCTCGTGTGAGGCAGGGGCCCAACACCTGCTGCCTCCCAGGGTCCCCGTCAGCAGGGACCCGGATAGGAAGTGAAGCCAAGACCTGAACCTTGGCACTCTGATGAGATACGATTTTTTAAAAAAGATTTATTCATTTGAAAGTCAGAGTTACAGAGAGAGAGAGAGAGAGAATCTTCCATCCACTGGTTCACTCCCCAGATGACTACAACAACCAGAGTGGGGCCAAGCCAGGAGCCAGGAGTTTCATCAGGGTCTCCCACACAGGTGCAGGGGTTCAAGGACTTGGACCATGTTCCTCTGGTTTCTCAGGTGCATAAGCGGGGAGCTGCATTGGAAGTGGAGCAGCTGGGACTGGGACTTGCACCCATATGGGAGGCCAGCAGGAGGCAGGAGGCAGCTTTACCCCTTATGCCATGTGCTGGGCCAGGCTGAAGCCAGGAGCTAGAACTCAATCCAAGTCTCCCACGTGGTGGCAGGGAACCAACTACCTGAGCTGTCACCTGCTACCTCCTGGGGTACTGGCAGGAACCTGGGGTGAGGAGTGGCATCAAGACCGGGACCCAGGTGCTCTGCCGTAGGACGCAGGTGTGCCAGCTGCTGCGCCCAACACCCACCCTCTCTGTCTGGCTCTGTATGGAATTGTCTGTGGCCGCTGCTATGGAGTCTGAATGAATCCACTGCCGTTCCTTGGCTCTGGTGAAGCAGCGGGGAGAGAGGTAGATGGGAAACGGGGGGCGGGTGTGTGGAGCTCCTGGCCACCTAGTGAGGCTCTGAGAGTCGGAGACTCCGGCCAAGCCCCCTGAGCCTGCTGGGCCTCCACTCTCCCAGTGGCCGCTGTCCTTGGCCGGCACCGTACAGGCTCCCGCTCACCCAGAGGGCCTCTGAGCCGGCGCCCGGACTCCTGCATGGAGGGGTGGGGCTGTGGGGCCTCGACCAGGGGGACAGGCTCTGAGGGCAGGGTGAGTGATGGGGACAGGTGCTGGTTCCCCAGGCTGGGGGCGACTGTGTGCACCCCCGCCACTGGCACCTCTGCTGGGTGACCCCCAGTGCCTGGAGAAGCCACATCCACACCCTGAAGGTGTCCTCGCGCTGGTGGCAGCCAAGCTGTCAAGGTCAAGCTCATAGGCTACCTCTGTGGCTCCCCTTCTGGCCCCTCTCCACACCCCTCCTCCAGGGGATTCACTGTGGTTCCCTAGGGTGTGTGGGGCATGTTTGAGCCCACCTGGGGCAGGTCAAGCACCCTCCAGAGGTGGGCTGTGTACAGAGAGCTGGGGAAGGGGAGTTCCGGGAGGAGGAGGGAAGGTCACAGAGGCAGGGCCGTCAGGGTCAGGGCTCAAGGTCAGAAACAGCTGGGACCTCAGCT